CCTGCGGTGGCAGCAGCTGGGTTCCCGACGTGCAGGGGGTTCCACCGGCTCGTCCAGCGCCGCCTGGCTGCTGCTAACGTGGCCGATATTACAGGCATCTGACTCGCAGCTCGCCATTTCCAAGTAAGTGCCTGCAGTGCTTTATTACGCGCTTGCACCCACTGCAGAGACAGCGAGCCAGGAGCGCAGCCGGGTGCCTCCTACACAGCCCGCACCGAGAGCTGCGCACGCTGTGGGCAGGCTGCAAATCACACACAGCTGTTTGGTGTTAGGCAGTGTGATAAAGGCGGATTTGCGTCGCTCTGGTCACCGCCAGTTGTTTGCCCGTATTCGCGTCCAGAGCTGCACCCAGAGCGGGTCTGAGCCTCTGCTCGGGTGTAGCACTGCGGAACACGGGGGCCGCGTCCATTTCCACAGGAACAGGGGAAATGGAGCCGCTATTATTGATGTTTGGTCGATATGTCACGGGGTCGTGGTTTGCTGACAGCAGCAGGATGGTCCGGCGACACAAGTCAAGCGTGGCTCCCAGAGCATCTGTCCTGCCGGCCTGTCAGCCGCAGTGAGGCTGCTCCCCGGGGCAGAGCGGAGCTGCCTGAGGGATGCCAATGAATTATTCAGCCACATGCTGCATATGATCAGCGAAGCCCGGGACTGTGCAGCTCTGCTGCTGGGGACAGTGAGGGACTATCAGGGCGGAGGGTGGCTGCGATTTGGCTGCGTGAGCCTTCCTGCAGTTTGTTGTGCAGAGGTTTCCAGAGCAGACTGTGTGTGAGCCGGGCAGGATCCTCATGGCACAGTGTCGCACAGGACGCTGTGCGTTTTAGACTGACAGTAGAAGACGACGTCAGCTGCGTGGCTGGAGCTTCAGGTGCTGCCAGAAGCGAAACTGCTTATGTTGAAATCACATAACACAGCTACACCGCATCAGTCCTTTGTCCCTGCACCCGCTAATCCTCACCTTGCACAATCGTAATCATAAGCTCTTCAGTAAGAGGTGGTTTGAAACGACTTCTGTGGTTTAATCTGGATTCCGGTGCGTTTACAGGCCAAAGTCCAGAGACTAGTGCAAAGGACAGGTCGTGATTAAGATGCCTCATAGCAGCCGGAGCCTTTTGGTTCAGACTGAAGTGCTGCAGGTTGACAAAGGATGATGTTATGAGAAGAATTTGGCTCTTATTGCAGTTGTATCCGCTTTTGTGATCTGAGAAGGTTGAAACTCAGACTGAACCAGATGGCCATCATCTGTGCAGCAAAGTGCAACAAGCTGCTGGGATGTCGGGCTTCAGGATGACAAATGTCTCATAGGCTGCCCAACAGGGAGTGAGGTGGACAGAATTGAAATGCACTGCACCACACTACAGGAGGAAGTTTAGAAAGACTATGCTGACACGGTCTGAGGCAGCGAGAGCCAGATGACAGCCGGTCACTGTCATCACGGCTCCAGCCTGCACTCAGTGGAGCAGAGAAGGGACCATGTGATGAATTGATTTTTGGTACAGTTGGATTCAGTATATTCAGTGTATGACCAGCTGCAGAATACGTACACAACAGAAATCGGCTTTAATCACCAAGCATGTTTAGCCTACAAGGAATTTGTCTGTGTCTCAGAGTCTCGGCAGGTTTTGGCAACAGGCACTGACTTGTTCTTTTAGATTGTCTTATTTACAAAAGTATCACGTCGCTGGTGCATGGACACCACACGATATATATTGCTAAACAAGAGGATACATGTTGTGACGTTTTTGTATGGCGATATATTGAATTTGGATGTATCGCCCCCATGCCAACTGTGGAGGTAAACAGCATGGAGGGAAACCTGACCCTCTGTCTCTATGAAACAGAACCTGTGAAACAAGTCACCACCACTGTTGGTGTGTGTGGTGACTCAACCCAACACACCCCAGAGCTGCAGGTCTATGTGAACACAAGGTCACACTCGTGGACAGATGTGAGGCCACTGGCTCCCACTCTCCTACTCAGGAGCCAGACTCTCCAGCCATGTCCACGTCCCAGCTGCAGTTTCCCAGATCTGGTGTGTCCACAGCAGTGTGAACAGACCAGATGTCCTCAGATCAGATCTGAGCGTTAAGGCCTGAGACGTTGACGCAGCTTTTGTGGTAGTTCTACGTCTCCGTGCACGATTGTATTCATGTTTTCTTGTTCTGTGGTCATTTTGCAGCTCTCTGTAGTTGTGGTTGTTTGTGTTGCCTTGTGTCTCTGTAGCCGTTTGACTTTCCATCACCAAATGCTAACACTCCATACAGATGCTCCCTCCTCAGGTCGTCCACCTGGTTGTTGACGCTGCTCGTCGTTCGTTCTGTTTGTGCACGTTTGCAGCAGGTAGTTTGCATGTCTGCATCTGGGCTGTGTTTGTGTTCGACTGGTCCAAGACTCAGGCAGCAAACACTTAAATCTGTGAGGTCAATCAGTGTTGGCGTTAAGGAAACCAAGTAGACGGACCCGGTAAATCTTCCTCAGCCTGTGTCTCGGCCTCTCAACCCTCTTGTCGTTCCTGACTCAGCCTTTGTTTCCTTCTCAGGGGTTGTTAGTGTGTCGCTGTAATCCTGTTACAACATACACATCACAGTGGAGCCTTTTATGCCAAATCTTCCTTAAACTGGAGGTTCAGACCTTTACAGAACACATTGCCCCTCGAAACGGAGACAAAACTAACATGTATACAAAGACCAATACATAACAAACACTTCAAACATTATGATCCCGCTTCACTACTGCACTGTGTTCAGCCCTGCACAATTTGGCAGTGTGCACAGGTGGACCAGGCACGTCTTTATTTTGGGTGCTGTGATTTTGATGCTCATTGCTGTTGCTATACCTGAATTTCCCTCAGGATCAATAATCTGTCTCTATAAAGAATCACTGGGAGTAAATAAGTAAACAGTTCGGTTCCATTTATGTTTTCTAACAGAAGAAACCTCCGGCTCTGGGTGGGCGACCAAGATAAAAGTGCAAATATATGACAGCCGCAGATGAAGTGTACGACAGCAGTGACGCTACAGGGTCGTCGTCTTCCTTCTGACAGTGACGGCTGATGTTTCCAGAGTGAGACGGGACGCCGACTCCCGTGTCCGCTGTCCTCAATCAGAGCAGGGTTACACCAGTGTTTGCCTAAATGTTTCTCCCTCTCCTCCTCTTACCCCCCATGACTGAACCGGTCCATGCCCCCCCCTCGATGTGTTTAGGTGAGTGATGGAGACCAGAGAGTTGGCCGTGGTCGCCAGCAGCTTCGTGGGCTTCCAGCTCCTGTTCTCAGTGGCCAGCCCACGGCTTTCCTCCACCATCACACCAGGTTACAGGCAGCTGCCGCCCCCCAAGCTCACTGAATGGAACTCCAGGTGAGTCACAGACACCCATCATGTGCTGTATAGTGTAGGTTTACATTGAGGAAAAAGCAGCTAAACTACGACCACTAGATCACTGATCCTTTTGTACTACTGACTCTTACTGTATTTTGATATTGTGTGTACTTGTAGCCTGCTGCTGCTAGCGGAGCCCCGTGCAGACATGTGACTCTGCTGCTCCGTCAGTCAAAGTGACGTCTTTCTGTCACTCAGACAAATGTTCCTGCCGGGCTCCACCTCATGTTTGTTAGACCTGCCTTGTGTGTTCAGTTGTAGCGTGCGCTGAAGATTGTCAGGGGTGGGGAAGTTAGTGGTCAGTTCATTAGGAACCCCGTTCTATCTGAACTAATGGTAAATCCTCCTGGTGTTGCGTCACCTGTCTGATCACTGTGGAGGCTGCAGGTTGTCGTCTTGCTGCTCAGGACCAGCAGCTCCATAACTCATGTATGTTCAGGTGTAGCTGAAGCCGTCCAGATCCTAGCACATCGGATGTGATTTACTTAGTAAATGGCCAAACAACAGTGCAGTCGCGCTCCTTAAATGTGTGTTGTTACTGGGTGAAACTACCAAGCCTGGCCAACGGGGGTGGGCCGCTCGGCTGTAAAACACTGCAGGAAACTGCTAGGGTTCATCTCAGTTACAGGTTTTAGGAGCAGAAGTGATGATGTAGGTCAGACCACAGTGCTGCATGTGGAGATCCATGAGGAGCCAGCTGTTGCAGCTAGGAAACACACTGGGATCTCGCACTCGGCGAGTACACACAGTGGACGTTTCCTCCTGGACACTGGGTAGACCTGAGTGATTCACCATTTTTCTGTGAGTCGGAGGCCCTTCCTAGAATGCTGTGCTTGTGCAGTGGTGTTGTATAAAGTCTTGACATTCAAACTGAACTGAGCTGTGTTTTTGGAGATGCAGCTCTGTTGTAACAGACCCTTATGTGGCTCCGGCCAGCGCTGCCTACAGCTGCGATGTGAACGGCCCCTGGAGCGCAGAGCGGTCTGCAGTGACCTCAGGATGAAGTTCACAGGGCAGTAATCAGCAGCTGTTACAACTCTGTTACTGGCTTTTCCTGTTTCCCTTTCTGTCCCGATGTCTGTTTCCACTGCTCTCACGTTAAAGCTTTGTTCACTGCCGTGTAGTTTACATGAGCTTGTTCGTCCACGTTGGGAGGTCTGGGCCGTATTGACTGAGGAGCAGACCAGAACAAGCCACAGGCCAGCACTAACTGGGCGCCTGTTTGTTTTTACACACATGATCAGGACGGTCAGAGAGCGGCTGTGAGGTTGTTGACCAGTCAGCTGTACCGCTCAGTTTGACATTTGACTCTGATTCAGCAGTAACACTGAGCTCGTCCACTCATCTGTGGAACCAGTCGTTATCCAGGCCCGAGGCCAGCAGCTGTAGCCACAGCAGAGGACAGAGCTGCTGGATAACACTCCAGAGGTCAGCAGTGCCACTGCATTAGGGCTGACTGGGGGAATAAAAGAAGTTACACTCACATGGATGCAGGGGGCAACATGGTGCGATTAGTTTTTCTTGTTCTCCAAAGATCTTCTGAAGTGGCCTGAACACAGCAACTGGTTTCACTGGGAGCTGGTGGTGATGTTGGTCACAGCTGGTTTCACAGCTGTGTTCAGTCTAATCACCAGTCACTGAACGTGGACAAGAGGAAGAACAGCAGAGAGCTGTCTGACGAGCTCAGGAAGGAGAGAGTCAGCGGGCGTGGTCGAGCTAAAGGCTACAGACCATCTCCGAGCAGCTGGACGACCCTGTGACCACAGCTGCCGAGGGTATTAACAAGAGCTGGGTCCATGGCAGCGTAGCTGAGCTCCCTGGACGAGAGGAGGAAACCTGAGCCCAGATGGACCAGACAGATTGACCTGCAGAGTTCCACTGCAGGAAAAAGACACAGGAAGACTTCAGGTCCAGGCTGAGCCCCGAGATCCGGGTCCGACAGGGTCCCAGGTAGCAGATGTGGCTCCGTGGAAGAGGAGCCCACTGTGGAGAGACAGAGTGGAGTCGGTTAGATGCTGCTGGGAGAACGTCCTGTGGACACATGGAGCCAGATGCAGCTGTTTGGACACAGCAGCTCCGTGTTCGCAGGAGAAACACTGACGCTGTCCCACAGGACGGCAGCATCCCCACTGTGGGACATGGAGGAGGTTCAGCTCTGCTGCTGCCTGGATGAGACCAGCAGGCGGTGGAGGCGTTCAGCAGAGCCTCTGTCTCAGTCACAGCTCACAGTCCTCTGCAGGAGAATGAGGCAGAACACTTTGGAGCACCGGGACCGATGGGAAGGAAACAGTGGACTGTCTGGAGATTGAGTCCTGATGCGAGTCCAGCTGAGCGTCTGTGGACGGAGCTGAGAGTCACGTGGAAGCTCAAAGAACTGGAGCTGTGATGGGGATGTCTCATTCAGAAATATTAGGTCAATGTCCCAATATTTGTCCATTTTAATGTGTGGTGGTGTTTTAAAATACCATGTTCCATTGAGAATCGAGAGCAACGTGTCTGTTGTGTTAAACCTGGAGCACAGAGCAGTGCATGTTGGTGTCTCTTCCAGCCTGTTCCAGAGATCCGACCGTATCGGTGACGTGTGCGGTGCAGCTGAGACCTACTGCAGCCACCCTCTAGTTTAGCGATGATCCATTAATTACAGTTCCTGTTGTCTGCCTCCATCAGAATCAGCTAAATCGGGATAAAAGTAGAGTATTCAAAACTAGAGACCTCTATGATTCTGTATAATCTGTATGAGGTTTATTTACAGGTGTTTCACTGAGGGTTATTGTCCAGTCATACAGTCATGGTTTAACTGTCCATCAGAGCAACAGCCTGGGGGAAGAAACTGTCCCTGTGCCTGGTTGTCTTAGTGCACAGTGACCTGTAACGCCGTCCAGAGGGGAGGAGTTCAAACAGATTGTGTCCAGGGTGTGAGGGGTCAGCAGTGATCCTCTCCACCCTCCTTCTGACCCGTGAGGTGTACAGGTCCTCCATGGAGGACAGGCTCACACCAATGACCTTTTCTACAGTCCTGACTGTCCGCTGAAGTCTGTACTTGTCCTGTTTGGTTGCTGAGCCAAACCAGACAGTGATGGAGGTGCAGAGAACAGACTGGATGATTCCTCTGTAGAACTGGATCAGCAGCTCCTGGGGCAGGTCGAACTTCCTGAGCCGGAGCAGGAAGTACATCCTCTGCTGTACCTTCTTGCACCAGCTCAGTTTACTGATTTACCCATGTCTGTGTGTCCATCCCCAGGTTGGTGTCGACTGTGCACGCTCTGGTTGTTGGCCTGTTCTGTCTGTACATCCTGTGGTTTGATGACAAAGTCAACGCCAACCCCGTCTGGTAAGAGGAACAGAAAGTTGATAAGTGCGACATCAGCAGCACTGTAACATAACGAGCTCATCCAACAGAGTTTGATGTATAAACACACAGACCTGGCGTTGATGACAGACTCTGGCTCGTTAGGCTCCGTCATTTTGTCAGAAACCTGTTCTCACAGGGTGAAGGAGGAGACGTGGTGCTAAAGAGGGGAGGCGGGCGGAGTGAAGGATGGTTCAGAGTGGGGAAGGTTGGGAAGATAATGATTTTCCCTTCAACAGAATGAAAGAAAGGAGGAAGGGGAAAGGATCTGATGTGTCCGTGTTAATGTTGGCACCTGATTTTGATTCAGTCGTTTGATGAAAATGTTTCATCAGATTTATTCTTTTTTTTCCTAAGTGACATTTCAGCCTGTTACCTACAACACTGTGCAAACCTCTTAGTTAGTTTAGCTGTTTCAGCAGGTTGTAATGATTTATGGGTATTTCTCAGTCCCTTTATTAAGAAATAACCAGAAAATGCAGGAAACGTGCACAGTATTCAAAACCAAAGTGGCTCCTCCAGCCCCAAGCCAGAGTTTAGTGTGACCTCCGTCTGCAGCGTGAGTTCTTCTGAGGAGACGGTCTTGAAGTCCTGAAGCCACAACAGAGCCTCCACCGTGTGTCACTGAAGGCCGCTACACTCGTTCTCCCACCTCTCTCCAGCTCTTTTTCTCACATGTCGACGACTGGACCCGAACATTTCAGACTTCCACTCCTCGCTCCTTCGTCCTCGTTTTCACTGACCTTCGCTCTGGTCTCTGGGCGTCTGCATGTCTCAGCCCTCTCTCCCTGTCCCCCTCTGAAGAAGTGGTCTCTTGACTGCCGTCCCTCCACCAAGGCCGTTCCTGGTGTCTTCATTTTTATATACTGTTTACTGATTTCTCATATTTTCTATTATATTCTGATAAACAAATGTATATAGTCATCCTACTGTGGCTACAACAACACATCCGAAGGCGGCCTAAGACTTTTGCACAGTGTTCTCTAAGCATTTTGAGCCTCCAGCTGTTTCCATCATTCTGTATGGTTGCCAGGGATACAGCTGTGTCCATCTTTGTCCTGCACAGTTACCATGGTTACAGCCGTCTCCATCTCAGATGTAAATCAATTTGATTCAAAGGCCTTGATTTTCCCCCTGGGGGCAGTTAAACGCAGTACAAAGTGTAGATCACAAGGTCATAAATTGTAGATGCTACATTTTAAAGCACATCTATAATAATAAATACCACGCTACAAGTGCAACAAATAGCTAGTTTACAGTGTTTAAAGAAAAAACTGCTCCATAAATTATCAAAACTAAATAAATAATCCAACAGTTAATGGCCAGGGCCATGTATGAGTTATTGTATGTGGAGTGAATAATAATTAGAGGAGAAGGGGAACGCTATGACAACCCAGAGTGTGAAGAGGAGGGTGCCTCGTCATAGTTCTTGGTCACTTTTCTTCTTTGGTTTACATGCCGTTTGTGTCATGAAACACAGGCTGTCAGTGGCTCTTTGTAGCGCTGCAGCGCCGTGTTGCTTCAGCAGGTCGGAGCTGTGCTTCTTGTCCTCGCCGCCCCAGCTCTGCTGCCGCCGACTGGCTCATCTGCATCAGCGAGTCCTGAACAGAAGAACTGGCCGTTCTCTCACTCAGCCTTTTAAACCACTTCTCTTCAGATTTCTCTCACCCAGCACTTCCTTTCCACTCTGGCTCTGTCTCAGCAGTCAGACCAGAGTCCCACCAACAAGGTCCCTTTCATAGTAAACAACAGCAGCCTAGTCTTCCACCCCCCCCAGCACCACTCACCACCCGCCCTCCACCCTCCATGAGCCTCCTCTGCCTGTAGCTGATCCCCACACAGCTCACTGTCATTGTCCCTGTCGGCCACTGCCAGCATCGCTGACGGAGTGACAAAGGAATGGGGGGGGCTTCCCTTGTCCTCCTGCTAACAGCCTTCGCTTGCTAAGTGTTTAGACTGTCAGCCCTCCTCTCCAGTCCTCCTTGTCTTTGGTTTTTACAGCAGATTTAATGTCAGTTCCCCCTCAGAGAAGCTGAGAGTCTTCACCCAGCAGCGTCCTAGTGGCTCAGAGCCACAGCAGTGTTCTCACAAGCTCGGCTGGTGTCACGGTATCATTAAGACCTGACACAGCAGCATCGTTCCTCTGCTCTCAGGCCAGAGGAGCCTGCTCTCCTCTCCTCTCCCACTCGGGTTCTTACCATAATCCATCCAGTTACCAAGCAGCCCATCTCAGTGCTGCGTCTGGACTTAACCAGCAGGTCCGTCCAAGGAGAACTCAGGACCAGAGCTCAGGGCTGGGCCACAGGGACCGAAGAGTTTGTCACAGCATTCCGTTGTAACAGCTGTGCAGCTTTGCTCAGATGAGTGCTCACTGCACAAGCTTGTTTCAACATGATGAACGGCGTCTGTTCATGAGGACGTGCACTTTCCACGCTCTCGCAGCACTGTGTGCCTGAGCTCCATGAAACGCTGCCTCCACAGAACTCGAAGGCCTGTTGTTGGACATCAGTAGAGGAAAAACCTGGCCAAGTCTGCAGAGCAGCTTCACCTCCCTGACGGTGCAGGAGAAACAAAGTTTATCACACGTCGCAGTGTGTGTGCTGCTCTCAGTCAGTGTCAGGGTAAGTGCATGGCGACTTAGCTTATGGCAGTACACGAGAGCAGAGGAACATCACGGTCCCCACACACTTTATTCAGAAATGTAGCTCTTATTGTTTGGGTAGAAATAAGACGAAAAGCTGTGATGCTGCTCTTTGTGCCCACACGCTGATTGAGCTGTCAACCGTCAGCAGATACTCGATCCTAAAGCAGTCGGATCGGGGCCAAAAACACCCCTCATCTTTAATAAGTCAAATTGGACTACTCATTTAACCTCCCAGTGTGTTCAGATTGGGTTAGAATTCCTGTGGGCTGTGAAGAGAAGCAGACGCTCTGTGCACCACTGAAGCACTTTGGCTTCAAGGACCATTTTAAGCACAAGCCACTGTGTGAATCACAGCAGTGCTTTTATCACGAAGGCTCCTTATCTGTTTCTAGGCCGAGTTCCAGTGCGCTCGGCAGGTTTACAGTACGTTTAATTAACTGAAGCAGGATCACACTGGTGAGATTATCAGGAAGCCTTTGGACTGTGTGACAGCAGCCTGCAGACGCTCTGGCTGTGACGCTATCACTTAGTCTGGCTCTGATCCAGGCCCGTGTGCGGGGGTAAAGTGATACAGCCGATCAGTTCACAGGCACAGAGACATTGGATTAGACACAGAGTCCGAGGACAGACGGAAGCTTCTCTAACAGTTCATGGGGAAACTGTTTTTGGAGCACATTGCTGGCCACTGCTTCTCAGACAGATGACAGTCTGAGGCTGTCATTGCTGATTGGTATCCAATAAAAACACAGCAATGCTCCGGTGAACACAAGACGATCATCAGAGAACAGAAACATTTGTGTGAAAGCACAGAGCTGTCAGCCAGGGTGACCAGTGAGAGGCTAAAGATGAGAGATGGGTTTAAAAGATTCACAGGGAAGACCTGAGACTTGGGCTGGATGTCACTAACATCTCCATTTGATTCATGATTTGATTTGATTTGATTGATTTATTGTTTCAAACATGTAACAACAGTCAATATGTAACCACACATAATTCCAGACATGTCCACAAATATATTTTCAATGTGCTTATACCTAGTACATGCTTGAACGGAGTAGGAAGAAGTCAGACTTATCCAGTCCTACCCCATGACATCATCTTACATCATTGGTTTGCAAGCAGTATCTCTACATAGATAATTATCTTCTACACCACACAAGTAATATACTAAAGAATTATTACAAAGTGTTAACATTCATACGCCACACCCACAATGTTCCATCTAATAATCATTAAACCTGTTCTTGCATATATCTTGATTGACACATACCTTTATATTTATATTTAAACTCGTCAATTCTATTACTATTTTTTATGTCTACACTTAAATTATTTCATAGTTTTACCCCACTTATGGAAATACAGAATCTTTTTTTGGTTGTACGTATAGCATGAATTTTTAAATTTAACTGACCCCTTAAATTGTATCCCCCTTCCCTTTCATTAAATAGTTTTTGAATTCCACCAGGTAATAAATTGTTCCTGGCTTTATACATAAACACAGACGTCTTATCAGTCAGTTAAAGCAGCAACGTCTATAAAGCCAAAATCCCAAATACTATACAACGTAACAAGCACTTCCCTGCTGC